GGGAACCACAAGGCCCACAGCGTGTGACTCTTTGCCTGAACCCTACAGGAGAGCCAGGAGCAGAGCCTGCGGCAGAAGCTGCTGGACGACCAGTTTGGCATCCTGCAAGGGACAGTGCAAGAGGCAGAGAACATCATCCAGGATGCGGTGGCTAAGCTAGACGACCCCCTGCACGTCCGATGCACTGGCTCCCCAGGTACGGGGCTCGCTCGGGGGACAGGCACGGGCCACGGGGGAACCCAGGGACAGGCAGCAGGTGGTTACAGCAGGCAGCCGCTAGCATTTTGTCCTGACCGCATGGGGAGCAGGGCTGGTTTGTAGCCTCCTCTGTTCCTAAGCAGAGGCGCACGTGCCCTGTCTCCTGCTGACATCCCTGTCCCTGCATGCAAGGCCCTCACCTGGACCCTTGTGTCCTTGCAGATTATCTTGTCAGTCGAGCTCAGGCGGCGCTGGAGTCTGTGAACACCTTGGAGAACGGGCATGCGCGGTACCTGGTCGCCATGACAGGTGAGGTCCCTGTGGTGGAGCACGGCAACTCCCAGTGCTAGGGAGAGTCTGTCGGAAAGATCAGGCAGTCGCCTTTACCTGCTTGTGGTGCGATTCGCTTGCCTGCAAAGCAGGTGCAGTGCATGGCGAGGGAACAGGAGAGCTAACAGGGCGGGCCACAAGAAGGCAGATGCCACATAATGGCACGTGGGACAGAGGGGCCAGACATGCCAGCCGGTGCTCGTGATGCTGAGGCAAGAGCAGCTACTAGCAGGGGGGCAACTGAGGCAGGAGACGCTTCTCTGGGCTGGGTGGGGGCAAAAGCCAGCCTCTCCTGCACTGGCTGCAGAAGACGACCTGTCTCTTTTCTTCTGGACAGATGCCACTGGCTTGGTGGGGGCCTTGGCCCAGTTCGCGCACCTGACAGCGGACGCCATTGTCAGCGGCAGCGCTACGTCGCACACGGCGCCCACGGACCACGCCGACAGTGAGTAGCAAACAGCGCAGGTGAGGGAGGGATGAGCTGCATCACGGGCCTGGCCATGCCCACGTGTGGGATTCCCTTGCTGCTTCCAGACAGCCTATTCCTTGCCCACTATGGTGCTGGGCACGGGGCAGGTGTTGCTCCCAGACTGGGTGCTGTGCCCCTCAGCTGCTGCCGCCTCTTGCTCAGAGGAGCGAGAAGGTGGTGGACAGGGACCGGTGGCAGCAAAACGCGCTGTTTGTGTGCTGGCAGAGCTGACGGACGCCTGCAGGGACTGCGGGCAGCGCAGCCTGGACTACCTGAGTGAGCTGAAGGACCGGCAGTCGCTGAGGCAGGCGGACACGGTGGACGTGAGGAGGACGCTGCAGGGCATCCTGCAGCTGGGCCAGGTGGGGACGAGATGCCCTGAGGCTCCCGAACCGGGGCACACGGCCGTGGGGTCTAGGGCAGGGGTGTGGGCATGTCATGGCAGGGGCTGAGCATGGTTGTGCCAGACAGGGTAGAAGGTGTGCGACCTTGCAGCCTGGCAGTGCTGGCTGTGCCAGCTGCACGCAGGCCTGGTCCCAGCTGTGCCACCCCTCCCTTCCCCCTGGGTGGCAGCTCATGGGTAGCATCAATGAGGCTCTGTCTCCCTGGATGTCCCCGAGGGCCGTGTCGCTTGGTAGCCAAATGTTTTCCTGGCTCTCAGGGTGCTGTGGGGTGGGGAGAAGGAGGTGGAAAGCTCCTGGGTTGTGCTGGGGGAGGTGAGGGGTTGGCAAGAAGCAGGAGTGCTACGTCACTCGGCTGGTGCTGTTGTCTGGGCGGACGGGTGCGATGGCAACGACCCGGTGACTCTCTGAAAGGAAAGGCAGGACAGGAAAGCTGATCCCTCGACAGGGTGTGCGTGAATGGCAGCTTTGTTGAAGTAGGGCATGGGAAACCAAGAGGACAGGAAGGCAGGTGCCTGGTGGGGGTGGTGAGAGTGAGGTCCTGGACTGGGTAGACTGCAGTGAGGCGGTGCCGGCAGTGGCATGTATGGGCAAGCGCCATCAGGTCCCTTGTGCCAGGCTTTGTCCCAGTACCGCTCCAGGCAGCCTCGCAGCAAACAGCCTGCTCCGCTCTAGAGAGCAGCATGTGCCAGGCTGCATTACCGACGTGCGGGGCGCGGACAGGGAAAAATCAGCCAAAACGGGACACAGCGCTCCAGGTGTGGCCTCACCAGTGCCAAATAAAGGGGAATAATCATTTCCCTTGATATGCTGGCAACACTCCTACCAGTGCAGCCCAGTTTGCTGTTCTCCTTCTTCACACCGAGGGCACTATTGACGCATATTCAGCTTATTGTCCAGTCACCCCCAGGTCCTTTTCTGCAGGGACCCCCCCCAGGTCCATCCCATGCTCTGAATCAGGTACACTGCTTTGGTGTCTGTGTGCTGGAGGAGCTAGGCAGCTGGAAAAGGTTTAAGAAAAGGGGTGGGTTGGTGTCCCTTTGCAAACACTTCTGGCTCTGCTTGGAAGTCCTTGGAGCAGGGTAGGAGACCGGCAACACAATAGCTCTGGGAGGCCAAAGCCTCATGTGGCAGGAAAAGTTATCCCCAGTGCCACTGTCAGGACCGGTCAGCTTTGTGCCCGAGTGCCTGGCCTCTGCAGTGCTGGAGCGCCCCGTGGGCTGAGCATTGGGCTTCCTTTGCCATTGCAGGAGCTGAGACCCAAAAGCCTGGACATCAAGCAGGAAGAGCTGGGCGATGCGGTCGAGAAGGAAATGGCCTCCACCTCGGCGGCGATTGAAGATGCTGTCAGGAGGATAGAGGTGAGATGGGACGCTGGCGTCCGCGTGCACCAGCTTGCTGTGGTGGGTGGTAGTTTTCTCCTTCACGCACAACTTCCCTCCTTGTGTGTTTGGGGGGGTGGGAGGTGAGGAGCAAACTCACAGCGAAGCCGTCTCTCGCCCCCAAAGGAGCACGAGGGACCCAGGCAGGTGTGAGGGGGCAGCTGAGAAAACTGCAGCCCTGCGGGGGTCTGAGGCTATGGAGAGGCTGGAGGGCTGCAATGTGGTGGCTAGGCAAGAAGCAGAAATGAATGAGAAAAGGGGGAGCAGTTAGAGCGGAAAATAAGTTGGATGTTAGCTCGATGCTGAGTTATGCCCCCACTGCTCCCAGTTGACTACGGTCTGAACTCAAGACTGCACGGGAAGCCGACGTGGCAGTTCGGGCTTCCTGCGTAGTCTGAGCTGCAGAGCGAGGGCAGCCCGTGAGCCAGGCTGTTAACAAGCAGACGTGGCTCTGGGCTTGGTTTCTGGTATGAGGAAGACATCGCTGCAAAGAGGCGCCCCTGCACGAGTAGGAGGGACAGAGTGCCCTCGCACTAGGCCAAGGAGCACAGGAAACAAACAGGCTTAATGGTGAGAGAGCTGGTGTTTTTTATAAGCATGGTGTGAGCGGTAGGATGCAACCAGAGTGCCTACGTGTCACTTAGTCTGGCTGCACCGATCCCGTGTCCCCGTGCGCCTGGGAAGGGCCAGTCCTGCACCCAGGTAGCATGTGCTGTGTAGCGTGCAGGCACACAGCTGTGCCAGGCAGGCCAGAGCACGCGCACGGGCACACGCGTGGCTGGGCTAGCAGAGGTCAGGACTAGCAAAGGAGCCTCAGGTGGCCCTGCTCCACGTGATGTAATGTAAAAGGGCAAGATGCTTCCCCACAGGTGCAGGGGCTGGAGGTACCAAGCAGGCTGCCGGCCTCAGGTCGGGGACTCGCTCTCTTGTAACAAGTCATCCTGAGCTCACTAGTGTGCATCTCTCTCTTCAAACAGGAGATGATGAACCAGGCCAGAAACAAGAGCTCTGGTGTTAAACTGGAGGTGAACGAAAGGTGAGTGAGAAGCAACAGCTCAGGCCAACAGTAATGGCCAAAGCTAGCTCACAGCCAAGGCAGGAGATGGGAAGTGCTTTAAGAAAAGGGCACGCCGGCCTCTGCTGTTAACAGCACGGATCTCCTCGCATTGTAAAACGTGCCCAGTGCTGCTGGCTCGGACAGTACCGGCAGGGGTGCATGCTCCCAGGCCGTTTGACAGGCTGGGGCTGCGGAGGTCTAGGCGCTGCTGACTGGTTTCTCCCCTTTTTGACAGAATCTTAAACTCCTGCACAGACCTCATGAAGGTGAGTTTGCAGCCTGTGATCCTCGCTTGGGGGGCCCAGCCTCCCTGGCAGCGAGGGTAACGGTCGATCTCTGCCCTTGCAGGCCATCCGGCTCCTGGTGCTGACCTCTACCCAGCTGCAAAAGGAGATTGTGGAGAGCGGCAGGGTAAGGCTTGTGCTTCCACCTGACAGGCTGGCAGCAAATTTGTAAACTTCTTCTGCAGTGACTCGTTCCACAAGGGTCTGAGCTAACTGTCACAGCCAAGAAACCCACCTACCTACCTAGCAACACAGCTCCAAAAACTCTGAGGGACCAAAAGCAGTCCAGTGCAAACAGTGCAGGAAGCAGTATTCTCAGCTCGTTCCCTCAAAACCTTCACCATGACACAGTGCTGCTCTTCTGAAAGGTTGCGCTGGTGAGACACCTGCTAAGGTCCCCTTCTGCTACATTACTGAAAAGCCTCCAGCCTTCAGTTCAGCTCCTCACATTGCTCCCCAGTTACAACCTACGCTTTAGCTCAGACTCCTGCTAAGTCACTGCGATGCAGCTACAACTACTGCATGCGCTTATCTTTGACCTTCATGTTGGCTTCCCTCAGATCAAGTCATGCCGCCTCACCTAGGCTGCCCAACCCAGCTGCCATAGTTGAGAGACCATGTCTACTTTCAAAAGAAGTCCCCAGTGCAGTTACATGTTCTGCAGCCTCCTCACACCAGCTTCACCCACCTCCCAAACATCCTCTGCCTTGTCTTCTTATAGAAAATGAGGGTGGAAGGGACCTCAGGAGGTCACATCTAGTCCAACCCCTGCTCAAAGCTGGCCCAGCCCCACTTGCAGCATCCCAGCCAAGGCTTTGTCTACCCGGGTCTTAAAAACCTCCAAGGATGGAGGGTCCACAACCTGTCTGGATAGCCTGTTGCACGTGGAGGCAAGGCAGGGGATGTTTGGGAGGTGGGTGAAGCCTCCTTCCACTAGGAGGAGAAACACTACCCTGCAATCTCAGCTGCCACTTACAACACCTTTTGCCACTTATTTGACACCATGCAGGTGTTGGGCCTCTTAGTGAACGTGCCATAACACACAGCCTTCCTGCATAAACTAGCTCAGACAACTTAGGCAACCACTTCAGTGTGCTCATTACTGTCACAAACCCATGCACGTACAGAGGACTGTCATGTAGCCCATAGACAGGTCTGTGCCCAAAAACAGTCCTTACCATCCCTTCAGCTGCTCTCCACTCGCTTACCTCTACTTTAGGCCACAAATAGGACAAAATGATGAGCTACAGGCTATGCTGTTCAGAGGGCCAGGGCCTTTCATAGGCAACAGCCTTCATCCTGCGCCACCCGGTCAGCTCTGACAGTCCGTTGTTGCCTACTAAAACTTGCAGCCCACGGATCTCATTGCCTCCTAAGTGGCCTTAGACAACACCTGCTTCATCAGATGCTAGGAAGGGGCTTCTAAGGTCCCTTCACAGCATCTGACAAAGCAGTCTGTCACCTAAGACCACATCTGCCTTTCCGGGTGCCTTTCTAGGGTACCATCCTGCCCTGCCTTCTGCACAAACTCTAGGGGGACAGGAGAGGAAGATACCGCAGAGGTCTCTAAACCCAGACCAGGTGCACACATACACATTTATTACCATTTTTCCGGTGCCCAAGGTGAATGCAAGATTCAGTTAACATCTTTGTTATTGGAGGAAAACAAGCTTTAAAAAAGGGGGACCAAGAATGACCCAGTAGGGTTGGAGTGGGGTTGTGGCTGGGATGGTCCAGGAAGCATACGAGGTGCGAGGGTTTTCTGTGACCTCTTTTACTGGACCAGCTGCAGGCTTGGGAGAGCTTTCAGCCACCAAGTGCCCTCCTTCGGGTTTGCAGCAGAAGCAGCCACGGACTGAGCCAGGTATCACAGAAAGACTCTGTGCTCAGAGGGAAGGAGAAGAGCTGTGAAACAGGGCCAGAAATGACGCACGGTTCTTCCATAGATGAACATACATTTGCCTTTCACCTCCCCAGTACAATTGACTTGAGAGCAGGTGCCCATGCACTGCATATTATGCACCACCACATTCAGATAGGAGTAAAACACCTTGCGCTTTATTCACATCACACCTCATAAAACAAACATGAGGCTTTGGCCGCATTACAGTCACCTTCCATCTCACTTCCCTCTCCGTTTACAGTCACCAAGCCAATACTGACATAAGCATCGCACCGGTTCCCTGATCCCCTTCCCACAGCCTCTTAACCATCCTTACCAACTACCCAGTATTGTGTGCTGCGTAACGGCTCCTACAACCCAGTCGCTACAGGCCAATACATGCATATACAACATGGTTTTGACAGATGCATCCTAAGGGATTAAATATCATTTAATATAGGCACACACACGCTCTGCACCCTTAAGAGAAAGGGCATGATTACAACAGCAGGTACGGCCATTCGGTAGAACGGGTGAGAAACGGTTTTAGATTTCCGACCTGGCATTTATTACTGCAGTAGATGCAACACAGGGGTCCATGATTTCAATGCATGTTTTAATAGAAAGGAAATATTTCCATTATTGCTCCCATTAGGATTTCTTACACCTCGGCCATTGCACTGTTCTGGCTCCATCCCCAGGGGCACCCAACATCTTGTACCTGGTTACACCCACACCGTTCACCACCCCTGACCCAACACCTCGGCTCCTTTGCACGGCCGGCTTTTCTTCTGCAGCCACTGCACACAGCCTTGTCCAAATATTTGCTTTCGTGCTAGAAGGCTTCGCTGTTAACTAGTCACTACCATTGCAGCCCAGGTGCCAGTACGTCTACTGGATGCATAGCACAGACCCCAGACCCACAGCCCCATGCTTTTAGACCACCCACAAAACAGAACAATTCTGCTGTGGTTTAACTTTAAACGACACCCAAATGCCCACAGCCCTTCCTTTGGGCAGCAGCAGAACACGCGCCGCTTTTAGCGTTACTGCTCATCACGACCAACGCTGGGAACAAGGCAGTGCACAAACCCTTTTACCTCACTGGGGCGGGGGGCAGGACTCGATGATCTTCCAAGGTCCCTTCCAGCCCTAATGTCTATGAAATCTAGGAAAAATTACTGAATCCTCCAGGTCCCCACAGTTCAGGATGACTTTTCCACACTGCACTGGCAGGTTGCTGATGCGTTCCAGTGGACAGTAAGATTACGGCCTTCCACCCGTTTCGTTTTTCACATACTCGAGGTGGGAGGCACGCCAGCTTTTAGCCCGCGGTGTTGTTACGGGTTCAGTTTTTTTCCCCCCACATGTGAGTTTTGGCCTGTGCTAGAGGAGTAAATTGCTCTTCACCCAAGATCTATATGTGACTTGCAGCCCCTTTAACCATGTGTCTAACCTTCTCGCGCCACTAGGGAGCAGCAACCAGCCAGGAATTTTACGCCAAGAACTCCCGCTGGACCGAGGGCCTGATCTCCGCCTCCAAAGCCGTGGGCTGGGGGGCCACGCAGCTCGTGTAAGTCTCTGCCACACTTCCAGCTCTTGCTGTGAAGCTCCCGGGCTCCAGCCCACCAGCAGCAGCTCCTCTGTGCCCCCGGGGGCAGCCGTGTCCGTCAGAGGAGGCAGTCCCTGCCTGGATCCTTTGACCCTTGCTGACTTCCTGTCCCTTGGGCAGGGAGCTGGACCCGATCTTACGAGGTCCCTTCCAGCCCTAATGTCTATGATGGGCACACGGCCACGCACAGAGCCAGCTGTGCCATAAGCACGTCTCAGCTCAGACCAGCGCTAGATTCCTGTTGCCATTTGGCCCCTGGCAATGCTGCTGCTCTTTGGCCATGAACAAGATGCCCTTGTCACACTCCAGTCTGCGGGGCATGGGGATAACAAGCTCCTGGGAGCTGCCCATGTGCATGCAGGCCTTTGTGAGGCACTGGCACAAGCTACATGGCTGGCAGCACCACATTCTCCTGCTTTCCTTTGCCCGCATCACCCTTCCCTAACCCATCCCCACTGTCCGTCTGCCCTGCAGGGAATCTGCAGATCGCGTGGTCCTGCACACAGGCAAATACGAAGAGCTCATTGTCTGCTCCCATGAGATTGCAGCCAGCACAGCCCAGCTGGTGGCGGCCTCCAAGGTAATCTTCAGCAGAGCAACGTACGTGAGCCTGGGCAGTGCAAGCCAATGGGACGTTTCCCCATTCCCCTGGTGGGGGGAGGTGAAGGGATGGCATCCAGCCACGGGCGTGTAGGTCACCCTACACTTCCAAAAGGTGCTGTAGGCAACACACACAAACAGGCATAAGGCAGGCCCAACGATCCCAGCTGCTAGGATACAGGTCCCGTCCAGAGCAGAGGAGGGATTTGCAAGCAGTCACGGTTCATGCATGGGGATCAGACCTTGAGGTCACACTGCCCTGTGCCCTGCCATTTAAACAGGAGAGAGAGACTGCCTAGAGCCACTGGGAATTGTTTCACTCCCTGCAGCAGGTACGTGGGAGCTGTAGCAATCCCACCACGCTGCTGGCCTTGGCAACCAAGAGGAAGGGACATGGGGCTCTTCCAGCCCATCATGCTTCCTGGGGTCCAAGCCCTACTGCATGGAAAGCATTTGTGCATGCAGGACAGGATTCCCCTTGCCAGGCAAAGCCCTTGGAGGTGACACCACCCAACTGCAAAGTTGCTCTCAGCACCCGTGCACAACCCTAGCACCCTCTTAGCTGGCGTGGGTTCGCGCTCGCTGGCTCCAAGCGCCCTCCCCCACCCACACAAGAGCCCCGTCTGTATCCCCCACATACCTGAGAACCGCTCAGTCCCCAGTCGCTCCCGGCAGGTCAAGGCTGACAAGAACAGCAGGAACCTGACCAGGCTGCAAGAGTGCTCCCGCAGCGTCAACGAGATGGCTGCCAACGTCGTGGCTTCCACCAAGTCAGGCCAAGAGCAGATTGAGGACAAAGGTGAGACAGTTCAGGTTCCTCCGGCCCATCCCCACGGGACTGTCTGAGGGGCAGCCCCAGGTCACTGGCACATGGCAGGAGGCATGGCCCATGTCACATGAGCTATGTGCTGTAGGCAAAAACCCTCCCACTCTCTTCCCAACAGATACCATGGATTTCTCTGGCATGTCACTCATCAAGCTAAAGAAGGAAGAGATGGAGACTCAGGTACATCACCCACCTTGTGGGGGTGGACACAGCCAGGGTCCTCTCTCATCCACACAGCATCTGGCTACAGTGCAGATTTAGAGCCCATAGCCATACAGCTAGCAGGTCCCCACTGCAAAGGTTTATGGCCCAATTCTGGACCCGTACACACCCCTGCCATCTGCATCCCACCAGTCACTGCCCAGGCAAGCTGTCGCTCTCCAAGAACAAGTGTGTTCAGCTGAGAACCATGCATGTATTTTTGGGCAGCCTCTGTGCAAGCCACACATCTCCTTAGTCCCCACCTCACCTCCTGCAGTCATTGCCCCCCTGCAAGTTCGTCCTGGGACAACTTAGCCACGTGCATTGCTCTTCTGTCCTGGGGGTTTGCAGTCTAACCACAGCTGGGTTGCGTCGCAGTCCCGTATCTCCTCCTGCACAACTAGATGGCATCCCAGCTGCCCACACCCTCAGCTCTGGTTTCAGGGGGGGTCCTGGGTTTGCCGTTGCACAGGTGAAGGTGCTGGAGCTGGAGAAGATGCTGGAGAACGAGCGCATTCGCCTCGGGGAGCTGCGGAAGAAGCACTATGCGCTGGCCGGGGTGTACGACGACACAGACAGCAGTGGGGCCAAGCTGGCCTCGGCTCCCAGGCGCAGCATCCTGAAGAAGCCACCACTGGCTCAGAAGCCGGCCCGCCTGCTCAAACAGGACGGCGAGGTACTGGTCCTTCCCCCGCCATTGCAAAGCACTGGCTTGTCCCACTGGACAGCAGGGGTGCCTGCAGTCTGCAGTGGGGGACTGAGGCACAGCTACTTAACTTGGTAGCAGGAAGATGGCAGACTTGCCTTTGAGGATGTCCTCACTTACCTCATCCCAGGTCCACCACGCACCTTGGCAAGTTTGTGCGGGCCTTACCCCAAGAGAGCAGGCAGGAGCCAGTGCCCGACTGTGGAGGAAGGGCAGTCCCAACACATAGCATCCAGTTGCACCCCACAGGGATCTGTGGAAGCCACCGGGTGCATCACTTTGTCCCTTAGCTGTCACTGCTCCTGGATGGGCTCACATGACTGCTTTTAGCAGGGGCAGGGAAGGAGCAGCACATGAAGTGCACCTGGACTTCACAGTCTGCCTTAGGAGTGATATGGAAGCACCCATGACCCACAAACCTGTCTTTTCCCCTCCCTCCTTCTCTTGCAGCTGAACCCAGATGACACCATCTTCGAGGCTCGAGTGATAAACTTCTAGGACAGTACAGCGGCTGTGCGCACACTACAGGACGACAAGAAACAGGCCGCCGGCTTCGCCTCCACCCTGCTGCACACTGTCCTGGCAGGGACTGAGGGTCTGATGGTGCAGACAAGAGCTTCCCTCTGTCAAGGAAGTCGGGGCCTCACTTCCCAGACCGCGGTGCCTTTCTCCGTGGCTTACCTCTGCGGTCCGAACACGCGCAGAGCAGATCAGTGCTCTCGTGGCCTTCAGGCTGGCACACCTGTGTCGGCCAGACCTTGCCACTCACTGCCTCGTGTGACCCATGCGATCTCTACCCTACCTGCTGCTCTGGTTTCCACTGTTGCTGCAGCGAGGCTGAGAAGCCGTTGTGGCAGCGTGCTTTGGCCCAACACTCTCATCAGCAATAGACAGGGCCGTTAACTCCGGGCCTCCTATTCCAGCCCTTTCCAGACAATGTGAAGTGTTTGTACTCCAGGGGACTGACCTTCTCCCAACTTGTGTTTTCTACAGCCCTGCAGGTGGAAGGGAAGTGTCTGTGCGTGGGGTCGGCTCTTGCCGAGGGGCTCCTTACCTTTACACACCTGGTGTTTTTAATGGTCTCGGGGATGGGGGCTTCCAAGTGGAGGGAGCGACTGGCGCGCCCCCACTGGCAATAAAGATACAAGATTAAGACATTTTAAATAAAAACTAGACAGCTGCAAATCACAACCAGCACGACTCCACGTGCCTTGTCCTAGCAGCGGAGCAGCCGCAGAGTCCTTGCACTTACTGCTGTAGATTTGCAGTAGGATTTAAGTGCCCCTACTTCCTTCAGTAGCTTCAGTGCAGTGCAACGCCTTACCTGCAGCTGACCAAGTTGTACCCTCGCCGGGCACTCGGTCACTTCCCGCTGCCCCCTGGTCTGCGGCATTTCACTGGCCCTTCTCTGCCATTCCTTCGCTCTGCTGCTGTGATGGAGACTGCTGCACTGCAGAGAAGATGCACGTGCTCCACTGACAGGTGATTTAGAGATTGCATGTACAAAAAGGACCTGTCCCTGGAACTGGCCTGATCTGTACCCAATCCCAACCTTTATCTTTAGGCTTTATTGCCCAAACCAGGTTAAAACAAAAAAAAAAAAAAAGCCCCAAGTGCCATGTTTTCCTCAAGTCCTCTTTACCTGGTATCTTCCAGGTGCCTCCCAGGTTACCGCCCTGCCTCTAGCTTTTCAGGGCACAGAGCCACCTGGACACAGTTAGATGTGTAGAGATGGGGTGGCTACCCTGCTCTGGAAAGGGAAAAGTGAGAAGATTTCAAGTCACTGTGCTGTGCAACCCCTCCATGCCCCCCCACAACCCTTCATAACCTCAAGCCCACAAACGAGGCACCCGTTTGCTGAAAGCCAGAGCCCATTAGTGACAGCCAAAGGCAAGCACCCAGCTTCATTTCCCACAGCCCATGCCTCATCCCACTGCCACATGCCCCATCCAACTGCCCGAGACATGCACAGGCTTTTTCCAAGGAGACTGGAGAAGTCTCGACAGCACCACGCAGTGCACCTCAGGTCGCAATCTTGCCACGCCGGGCCCAGCAGGTTCTTCCTTGCTGCCTAGTGTGCGGGGCTCTAACCAGTGGGAAGCTCCTTTAACCAGCTCTTAGGTATTAATTCACACAACCCCTGCAGAGACTCTCTGACAGAGGCCTCCCTAGGCACAAACCAGAAGCAGCAAGCTTGGAATGAGGATCATTTGTCGCCATAAAGAACAGGCAAAAAACACGACACTGCTTTGCCTGTAACACCTGTCACCAGCTGTTCCAGTGACCCAAGGTGCGGAGGCAGCAACGCAGGGCTCTGTAGTTAAGCTGCTTCTTTCCCAAGAAACCCCCAGCATTTCCAATACCTGCCACCTCCCAGCAAGCCATCCACACCACCCCCAGCCTGCTTTGTTGTGTTAGCATCAGGCTGTTTCTTTGCACCACAACCACACCCTGGCCAAGAGACAGCAGGACACCGACGTGCTCTGGCTTATTATTTATTTTTTTAAATGCACCAGTGGTCACAGCCACTAAAATGTCCGTACGTATACAGCAAAAACACCATCTTTAGTGTCTTCATTACATTAGGAACACTTACTACTACCCACAGCGCAGCATACTCCACGTTGCCAAATCTTGGTTAGCTCCTTCCTGTTTCCAGCCGCTCTGTGCCAGTATCCCCACACGCAAGGCAGCAGTGTTTCGAGATGGGACTGGTGCTGGCGTGGTGCACTGCTTGACAAAGGAGGTAGCACTTCTCATGCTGCGTCAGGTTGACCGCGTTGCTCCCGACATCCCCCTCGGTCCCTCGTACAAAAGGGAGAAGTTTGCGTCGGCAGCGGGCAGGCATCGTGTGCGCTGCCCTGGTCTGTGCACATGCACAACTCCTGCTGTGTCCTAATCAGGAGCTCAGCACCAACCTCTCCTCTTGCTTACAGCAAGTTAGCACCTCTTAGCTCCTTGGGAAGCAGGTTCGAGCTCCACACACCTCACTGGGCAGTAGCAGACCTGTCACCCCACACACGGGAGGTGACTACTTTCTTTTCCTGTAGAGCTTTTCAACTTACCACCCACTCACTCCACATGAAATGAGGCTAGGCCAAGCCACCCCTAATCAAATGTGACAAGGCCGTTGCCTCACATTTTCCTCCGTGGCAGAAATACCCGCCACTACAAGACAAGAAACTGCAGCACATTACAATATGTGCGGTCCCTTTAGCACTGCAGGCTTGATGGCTTGCTCGCTCCTTTGGGGAAAACCATTACCAAGCACGGGACTTGCCCCAGTTAGCCACAGCATGCCTGCTTCAGCATCCCACCCAGCCACACCGAGTCCTCTCAAGCTGAATGAGCAAACACTGTCCAGATCTTATGGTTTGCTGAAACCAAGTCCAAACAGGGACCTCGGCCACCTCACCCTCTCACTCCACGTACAATGCTCACCGCCATCCTTAAGGAGAAAGGGCACCAAGTGCAAGGCTCACGCCAGTGCCCTCCTGGGAAGCACTTCACATGCACTTTGCCAGACAGGTGGAGGCCTCCCTCTGCGATCCTGCAAAGGACATGATGGTACCAGAGCAGGCAGCAGGTGCTGTTTGGCTGGTCAGCACAGCTACAATCAACCAACTTTGGGCTTGCTTCCTTGATACTTTCTAGGAGCCTCAGTTCCTTCTGCCAAGGCAGCTTGCCCAGTTCGATCTGCTGCATCTCTAAATCCTCCACAGGGACCCACTGGGCACAGCAAACACTGCCAGGTGTTATGCCAGAGAGCGCAGGGAGAAGCCTCCTCCTGAAGGACGGCTTTACAGAGCCCTCCACTCCAAGCGCACGGGTTAGGCAAATTGTTACTGCAGCGGAGTTGCGTGCTCACTGCTCCCTGCCACAATCCCAAAAGCGCACACTGCAACGCCACCTTCATTTCTCCACCGTCCACCAGGGTAGCGTCGCAGCTACGAGGGCAGGATTCATATCTCTCCCTAGAGCTCTCTTCCTGTCGGCGGCAAGGTGCATGGCAGCAAACGGCTTTGCAAGGACACATGATGAGTGGCACAACAGCTTCCAGAAGCAACAGGAGCTCCAGCAGGGGAGACTCTATTAACTCACATGGTAATTCAACCAGAACACTAGACTTAACACTAGCCAGCCACTGAGCTGCTTAGACATTCAAACAGCTGTTACAGCCTTGTCTTATGCTAAGAGGACCGAGTGACCGAACAGGAAACAAACAAAAAAAATCTTCCCTTTGAGGAAGTGCCCTGCAAGAAAGAGCCCTTAAAGCACAAAGGAGTGAGATAAACAAGGGACTTGGAAATCAATGGCCAATATTCGGATCACCGCGAGTGATCGTAAGGCACATCAGCTGCATGCATGCGCGATAATGCATTGCTTTGTGTAGAGAAAGTTGCATTGCCCCTCCCTGCAAAAGACAGTATTTTTCCTTTGAGAAAGCATCCCTGAATGGCTGTGTCATCACAGAGGTTACTAAAAAGCAGGCAACTTCAAACAATTAGTAGTAAAAATATTTTGGACTATTTCCTAGCAACACCAAGAGGGCGAGTGAGTTAAGTGCAAGCCCATAGTACACTTACATCTCCCATCTCTGTGAGCCCGGCAGGGGATATTCCCACCCTCACAAGGGGAGTTGGCACTTGGTTGGTGTAAGACAGATGCACCCAGTTACTTTTACTAGGCTTCTGGCAATCCCAACGTGCAGGCACCCAGCCAGAGTCTTGCATGGGAGGCTCGAGGCATACGCTAAGGTTGCCTGTGATAGCCCGAGACCAGGGCTTGCTTCAAACCATGCAGGTCATTTCTGCAGCAGCTCCATCTCCAGAACAGAGACCGCAGTTCACCATTAACTGCTCTCCAATGAAGCTCTATGGGACAAGCATCTTCAGAGGAGTCCGTGCTCACAAAACCACCCTGCACAGTTCCTAGATTATAAAATACGCCCAGGTAAAAGCAGTCCAGGAGATGCAGTTTCCCCACTGGCTGGGTTTCCCCACTCCAAACACTTCTCAGGCTTACCCATGGGACTGCATTTGAGCCAGTCATGCTGACTGCTGGGCCACCTCCAATCTTCATTGGAGAGCGACAGCAGAATCGCCCTTTTCAGAGGAGAGGATTTCCAATTACAACATTCACTGCTACAAAATCACTACCTGACTCCAGGAGGAAGAGCTAATGCTGAGTTACAGGGTTCATGTCAGGGAAAAACCCCAGATTACTACGTATGGACGGTCTACACCCTCAGAGCCTCTCACATGTGCTCTCCATGCAAGAGCTGGAGCTGGTTTTGGAGCACACTTCTTAGGCCACTGACCTCATTAGCTGCATGGATGAGAAAGTGACACAAGAGGTTGGTAACATCTGTGGATGTTCCATGACATGCCCACCTGTCACTGCCTTCAGGCAATCCCTCGTGCCCACAGCACTCACCATGACGTGACAGACTGCTCTCTGTTAAAGAAGAAGGTGCTCCCACTCTTTGGCACAGATGGAGGAGGACATAGCACAAAATGAAAACCCCCAGCTGCCAGACTGCAAGGCTTGCCCTGCTGATGGTCAAACAGGACCACCAGTAAAGACAAGGAACTGTCTCTTCCATCCAGGCTGGACTCCACACCAATGCTGCTGGGCAAGAGAAGATGGCCATGAGAAGATCATACCTCCACTCGAGCAACGAAGCAGAGGCTGCATACAGATTTAAAGAGCTTTGCAAAGGTGAACAGCACCATTTAGCAGTAAGGTATGAAAACAAAGTGCCTAGGACTCCAGGTCCTGGGATCCCATTCCCTGGTCTGTCAGTGAATGAACATTCCCAACCACCCCTCTCCTCTACCTCCCAAAGGCAGATTCAGTAAGGCAGACGTCCTCCTAACTAAGGAAGAAAAATGGGGGGAGGTAAATGGAGAAATGCACGCAAGGGCTCATGCCATTTCCACTGATATCTACACTGGCACTACCTACATCTTCCTCAGAACAGAACAGCCAGAAGTTCCACTCCCGATGCTCTTCAAATGAATCTGCAGCCTTTTCCATTCGGGAGCCGTTTTCAACGACCAGACTGTGGATGTTAAGTTAGTGAATGTACCCGATGGGGAGGCTGGGTTTACTCCCACCGAGGCCAGTTGTTTCCGCTGCAGCAGCTTTATGCATAGCTTTCGGATGTGAGATCCAACCATTGCTACCCAAATACCAGCAGCCATAGACTTTGAGATGCTAGCAGCTGGACTGTGCTCAAATCCAGCTGCAGCAGAACCACATCAAGACGGATGTGCCTCTTGGTTTGAGTGGGCCATGGCCACTAACACTGAACCTAAGAATTATAACGCAAGTGAATCCACAGCTTGCCAGACTGACAAAACTCCACTCCAACATCCCTACCCCAGGAAAAGAAAAAATATATATAGTCTGTGCAGTCCTTGATTATACAAAAAAAAACAGAAAAAAACCACAATCACGTTGACCGAACGCAATTCCACACCCCCGCCAGACAGCTTGGAGTTTGCCATTCGCCACACGCAGCACAGAGGTTTCCCTCTGGCCACAGTACACCGCAGGCAGGGGAGAAACAGGAGAAACGTGAGCACCGATGCCCGAGTCTAGCACCCCGAGTGGATCACTGCAGGATGAAGCCCGGGTGCGGCGGAAGGCGAGGCGGCGGTCTCTGCGGCAGCGCCGGAGGGTGCTGCAGGGCAAACTGGGATGGGGGTCCCGGCTGTGGTACCTGACTTGCCAGCTGCATTCCTGATCCTGATCGTGGGGGGAGTGGAGGGTAGGGAGCCCCCGGGTAAGGCATGGCTGGTCCCGAGGCCATGGCTGCAGTAAACGGAGTGGGAAAGCGTCCTGCAGGCACTGCTGGAGGTGGTGGAGGCGGTATTCGCCGGGGCACAACCACGGGAGGCGTGCTCACATCCAAAGGGTAGGAGGCGGCTGGCACTGGTGCGGTCTCGGGCATTCTTGGCTGCAAAGGCAGCTGCGCCTGCGGCAATCTCTGTCCCTTCAGCACCATGTCCTGGAGCTTCTCGATCTTCACCCGGCGCAGGTGAGCCAGCTTGCGCTTGCTCTGGTACTCATCAATGAAGGAATCCAGAGCCACTTCGCCATCCAGGAACTTCTCTGCCATGTTCTGTCAGACATGTAACAACCTGTTAGAAACCCACATAGTCCACAAAAACCTTGCACAGCTTCTTTCCCTCCTCAAAAGGTCACCTCTCCTCTCCAAGAGGTGAGAGATCTTTTGTGATGATGCCTTATTAGACCAAGTGTCTAGCTGGGAGAGAAGCTAGACAAGCAGCTGGGCACAAGCTGCCCTTCCTCAGGTCTCCTCTCTCCACTAAGACAGGACCATACCCTGCTCTAGAACTCAAGCCCAACCTCGGGATTCCCTTCTTAGCTGTGTTCCAGTTCCTCCCCCACTACTGTGGGCCACATCCATGCTCCCACTGATGCCTGGCTGCTGCTCAAAGAGGCTCTCTACATTCCCCTGACCATGGGAGGCAGGGATGACTCCATTTACAATCACAGAAATTTAGGGTGGAAGGGACCTCAGGAGGTCACAACAAGTCCAACCCCCTGCTCAGAGCAGGACCAGCCCCAACTACATCATCTCAGCCAAAGCTTTGCCTACCTGGGTCTTAAAAACCTCTAAGGATGGAGAGTCCACCACCCCTCGGGGTAACCTGTTCCAGTGTTTTACTACCCTCCTAGGGAGAAAGTTTTTTCTAATATCTAACTGACATTTCCCTAGCTGCAATTTGGGACCATCTAAGAGCTTTCCAGATACCTGGTCAGCCCATATTATGGTTCAGTGCTGGGAAACACTCAGAGTCTATTAATAAGGCTTCCTTCCTGCTTGAGTCCACACCTCCCCACCACAGCGCGAAATTCCCCCAAGCCTCTGTGCTGCATATACACAACCTATCCCAGCATGTTCCACTACACAGGATGGGAAGGGAGAAAACCTATGCAGCAGCCACAAAGGTTGCGAAGACAAGCCCTCCTTTCCAGTCTGCCCAGGACAAGCCATCTTGCCCATGGCTTTCCATACCCCACCCCCGTCCCCTAATGGCTCAGTGCACCTACTGAACATTTGTACCAAAACGGTTCTGCACAGACATGCACTTTAGGGTAAGACAAACCAGGAGAATCAAGGGCACATTTTCCCAATTAGATAATAAGAAAAAAAACATTAAAGCTGTTAGAAACACTTCAAATATAAAACAAGCTTGCATTCTTTTGTCAACTGAGGCCACTTTGCCTTGAGTCACCTGGCTGCCTGACAAGGTTTTGAAGTGACAGCTGAGGCCACATTCAGCAAAACCCTCTTACGATATATTCTCTTCACCACTATACCGTGGCAGTGTGTATCAAAAGCCTCGCAAAATTTTACCATGTGTTACCCTTCTGCATTTTAAGCGTCCTGCCATTACCTCTGTGTCCTCTTCAATCTTGGCACCCTCTGTCTGAAGCAGTGCTAACAGTGTCTCCAGGGAAGCATTGCTGGACTGGCTGTCTGCAAGGACACAAACAGGGGAGTATATAGAGCAGCTGGCCACAGATGATGCTCCCTTCCCCTGCCCCCAGCTCCATCAAGCACTAGACTCCTTTCTAGACACAAGCCTGTTTATCCTGCGCCGCTCCAGACAGAACGATTCTGAGCAGAAAGTTAACAGAGATGCTTCCTAAGAATTTACTTTCAGGACAGTCACAGGGCTTGAACTGTTGCTACCAGTGAAAAAGCTGAAAAGTTACCAGCTTAGCTGGCAAAGGTATTCAGGCTGGAAACAAATACCTCATAACAGAGGTACAGAGCAAAAGTCTGGTCAGCCTATGTTCAAGCCGCCTGATCTTTCACTTGCTGGACAGCTGCAGAGAAGAATACACAGTGCCTTTAAGAATACACAGACAATTCTGCTCACCTTCAGGGAAGAGATGAGTTAGCCTAATGCATCTCTCTCATGTGACCGCAGAGATCCCACTAATATATATCTGCCCCTGACTTCCTTTTCCCCTAGGCCATGCTGTTCAAACAGCCATCACAGTAGTATTTTTCCACTCTCATTCAATGAAGCTACTCCTGACCACTTGACATTTCAGCTCCTCTTGAGAAATATTCTAACCGGCACAGCTCCCAGATCTGGGACGTGCATCTAAGAGGACAAGGCATGTCTGTCCAGGAAAACCCAAGAAATACATTACTGCATAATACGTTACCTAGCTTGGTTTTCTTTATCTGATAAGCTTCAAAAAGGACCTGCAGCTCCTGATATTTCTGGATCACGCTGGCTTTCAGTGTTTCCAATTTCGGCTGGTACAAAAGGTTGTCTTCTGCTAGACTACGGTTGCTGGCAAGGGTCACTTCCTTGCTAAGTTGAACATTTTGGGCCTGCAAAAAAAAAAAAAGTGTACAGAATATTATGAACATTTCTGGATAACAGTTTCCAGCACTTTCCCAAATCCAGGCAGACCAGTATCGTTGGCACTACTGCAGCACATCCTAAAAACTGGAGAGGGACTTTTGGACTCACCCTGGATGCTCAATCCCGAAAGCCATGAGAACGCCCTACTAGGTTGCCTGGTACAACCCATACTCCAAGGACCACGCATTCAATCCCCCCTTACCTTGTGTACACTGTGTCCTTTCTGCAAACAAAAGGCTTTTCCATATCTACACCACCACCACGAGACTTTAAATGCAGGTCACCCCGTGTGGCCAGAGGCATCTTATAAATGCAAACAATGGCACAGACCAAAGGTGGAGGACTCATGAGTGCAAGAAAACACTCACAAAATCGGGACCACACCATCCAGACAGCCACCTCCTCCACCAAGGAGAATGAGGGGACAAGCAGCAGCTCCTGAAGCTTGCTTCAAAACTGCACTTCTTGGATTTTGTTGTCATGTCAAGAAGCATGTGCGCAGACGCACAGAGAGACTATACAATCAGTTTTCTTCTACAGGCTGGAAAGAAAAAGCTTAGTCCAAATATTTAGGGGAACCAAGCCCAGCTATATCAGTCTCTCCTGCCACGACCAGAAAGAAGGAATTGTGGATCACACGGTTTCCGCAAACAAGTTTCTTGCAAACGCTGACACTGCTGGAGAGCAGCCAAGCTAGCTATGGCTACACTCCTGCAGACCCCAGCTCAGCATTGCTCTCTGATGGCATGCTGCCAACCTCCACAAAGCAGCAGGGATACATGCATTTTGCTGCCCAGATTTACCCTAATCCTAGTTAAAGAAGTACAGGGAAGTCCTCCGAACTACTAGGCAGGTTGCAGGGCTGAGCCAGAGGAAGCAGCTAGGTTGATTCCCTCTATCCTCTTCTACACAGAGTTTATATGCCTGAACTCCTTCCCCAGTAAGCGACTGCTGAAAAGCACACAGGCTCCTTTGTGAAAGGCTCTGACAACCTAAAAGAGATGTAGCCCAAGTGCCAATAGCAACCTTCTTTCTACCCACACATGCCACAAATCCCCCTGTCATTTCTCCTTCTCTACAGGCTTCTCCCAACCCCTTGCTGGGTTCCAGCCAAAAGTCCATTTTTCCAGCTCAATCCTCCCATTTGCACATCCTGGTTTGAACGGCCTTGCCCGTGCCGAGGGAAGAGCCACTCTCACAGAGCGCCGAACAAAAGAGCATTATAGACCACTTCTTCTCTGCACAAAATGCATTTTTCCTTTGGCTGGTCTTCAGAGGCTTTGGGAAAGCTGAGCCTGTGGGGGAGGCCACCTTGGCAGGATGTCAATTCAGACCTCATAACGCACTTCAGACAAAGAGAAAAGATGCAGGAGGGTCAGTATCAGATGGTCTGAATACCCACCGCGGCTCGACATTCCCACGGTCCGATGTGCTGACGCTCACCTTCAAACACGCTGCAAGGCGTCCACAGCTTGCTTTGGCCGGCACGGTTAATCTGTTCCCACCCTGCCCCATTTACTGCCACAAAAGTCTGCCTTTCACTTCACCCCCCTCCGTGCTGCAGGTAAACCCTGGCTCTCATGTGGTACTAGAGCCCCCCAGGGCTAGGCTGTTAATTATCTCCTAGAAGACACAAGGTGACCGCCAGAGCCCGTGCACGTGATTTTAGTTCCCCTTCCCCTTTCTCCTTGGCTCTCAGGCCCCAGAGTGACCTGCACAGCACTTGCTCCTCCATTTCTCTGCACATGTCGCTGCTCTTCCCCCGAGACCAGCTTTATGCTTTGTGATTTCCACCCGGTCCAGCTGCCTGTTTGTGACTGCTGCTGCTTCCTTCCTCTCAGCTGCCTTTTGCAGAGACTCCAGACCAACATCAGCCACGTCCTCGCCCAGCAATCAGTGCCGCATTATCGGCACAGGGCTTGTTTGGCCTGCGGCCCGCTCTCAGTTATAGACTGCATCCACAGAGGAGTTGGGACTTCTTTAGAAATGACAAATGATGGCACTTGCAACTGCTTTAGACACCCCGGCAGCACTTCGGGGGATAACAGGGTGCAAGGCTAGGTGTCCCACTCAGTGCGAGTAAGGACGGGAGACTTTATCCCAGAGCGCCTCGCACCTGCTATACACCTTTACGCACATTGTCAGAGCCAAAACGAGCACTGCTTTGGTACGAAGCCCTGATTTTATTGATGGGAAGCCAGGGTGTTTCACGGCAGCTGTTTCAGCCACCATGGGACGGTGGGTAAGAACCACACGTGGCTTGTGGTCAACACACGTCCAAAGGACGTTCATATTCCACGTCATATGGACAACGCAGCAATGTCTTCAGCAGTGCCCGTTTCCTTTTGAGAAGCTTTTGTTTTATTCAAACAACTTTAATCTTCCAACCTTGCAATGTGCCCAATACTATGCAAGCACAGGCACAGTCCTTGGTATACGAAGCACTGGATGGACAGGGAGGAGGGAACTTCACCTAGTTCTCTGCACGCTCTTACCCCAACAAGCCAGCAAACCAGAGGCAACACAAGGCAAACCTCTCCCGATGATCTTGTAAGGTCCCTTCCAGCCCCTAACATCTATGAATCTGCCTGCCACGTCACGTGCAATTCATATGCTTTCCCCAGCAGGTTCAGTCAGACAGTTGCCAAGCCATCTCAGATGCGTGACCCCATCTAGGCCCCATCACAAAAAGGCATAAGTGGCGCTCACTGAGAAGTGAACTAGATTTTGGATGGGTCTCACACACCTCCGCGACCTACGTTCCTCTTCCAAGAGAGTAAAATCACCATCTGGGCTAACCTGAACTCACATTTTGGCTTTCTACTTTCATGGGATTTCCCCCAGGCACACCTAAAAACACTCCTGGACCAGACTTACTGTCACTCTCTTGCTGCCTAGCTGTGATAAAAGAACACGCCCTTCTCCCTTCCAATGTTAAAGATGGTTTAAATGCTCATCACTTCATGGCTGCTCACTCTCTTTGGTCCTTATGCCACCAAAGCCAGCCAGGAAAGACAAACCAACCATGTGTGGGTTGTCTTAGAGAGGGAAAACCAACTTCCAGCTTCCCATTTGGCCAGGCACCATTTGGGAAACATTACTTTGCCCCTTCTTCTCCATCCCTAGAGTTCACAAGAGAGGAACGCCTGTCCCAGTGTGACACCTTAGCATCCTCAGCTTTCACCCAAACCTGCCATCCTCACCGCTTAACAAAGACGACGTTGGCTTAAGTAGCAGTAAATGAGTCCCGTCTGCACTACGGGGACCACGGGCTCCACCTCTCCAATTAAAGGTGTTGCTCTGGCCAGAGTCCCGGGAGACTAGTTTTATGAGTGGACTCTGACCTTTCCTTGGGTTGGAAGCTATGTTAAATGCCTACAACTCAGCTAAGCAACCACCAGTAAATCAGAGACCAAAACTCAATGACTCCCTGAAGGCTGGAAATACCCAAGAAAAAAGTGGCTCAATAAAAAAATAAAAGATTACATAAAATTACAAGTAAAGAAAAAGCTAAGAAAGGAAGAGGTGGGCAGAATGGAAGGAAATAAGCCGCCCCATGTCACAGGTGGTTTCTCATGGAAAAAGTGTGCCAAAGAGGGTGCACACAGCAGTAAAACACCTTCAGGGAACAGACAGCACGAAACACCCATGTTAGCAGGCAAATGAACCCGATGACTTGTCAGGCCCTTCCTTCCTTAAGGCTCCTATCACTGTTACCAAGGTCCTATTGGAAATGCAGCTTTGCTACACAACAGCAAGCAGAAAATTTCAACGGCTGCCCCCCTCTTGCTCGCTGACACCCAGCTGTCTGATCTGTAGGCTTTGCACCCTCATAAAAAAACATTTATGGTGCACATTAAATTATAGCAGCCAGGATATGGCAAATGTAGGAAGGGGCAAGCAAAAAAAACAAACCCCAAGCTGGACGGCCAAATTCTCTCCCCAGCTCACTGTGTGGCCTATGACATCTCGCTGTGCCTCAGTTTCCCCGCTGTGAAGAGAGACAGAAGATGTAACAACCACAAAAGTGGTGAAATAATCGTTCTTCATTTACCACTGCATGTGTGACAAGGAAGGAAACGCACTGGCATTCAGCCGCTAAATGGCAACACTGCAAATTCATTTTTGGCACCGGACTCCAGAGGATACATGTACCAGTAAGTTGTCTCTACCCTTTTAAAAAGGTCCACCTTATAAAACAAAATATACCAACGAGGCCAGGAACCTGCCAAAAGATAGAGGGGGTTCAAACACACGTTAGTAACAGCTTTAAACTTGACAGTGTCCGAGTTAAAAGACAGGTTAACAAGTATACAGTAGAAAAAAAGCTGTGGAAAAAGGAAATAAGAAGTAGATGCGACAGCTCATGACTTAGCCATGTTCATGCTACAGCACTGCAGCAAGGCCAGACTTTTCTATAGGGAGCAACCATAGACCATCAGCTGCATTTACCGCTCACACTTCAAACCCTGCTGCTAAAGCAGCTTTTAGTGCCTACATCTGATAGTTCCTCCCGCTGCCTGCAAGTACAGTCCCTGCAGCTGCCTCAACTCCTTTTGCCCTCTTAAAAAATAGGAGCAGACTCTCCATTTTGGTTGACAGGCGCAATTTGTTCTCTCAGACCTTATTTTAATCCATCCAGGAATCAGTCCAAGAACTCAGTTTGCTCAGCAGTCTCAATGCATAGTCCCCCGGCCTGACAATTTGAATGTAAACCGATCTGCAAACTCATTTTTGCCCCCAATAAGGCCTTGTCTCCACTAGCTGGGGTTTTGCCATTACAGCATACTCTTCTGGACAGCATGCAGAGAATGCTAACCAGTGTGTCTGTGCACGTGTAGCTTGTATATGTTCCTTAAAACAAGCAGGACCAAAAAAAAGTCCTTTTCTGACACAACCACATCTTTGCTGGGGTTTTTGCAAACACCCTTTAGTTTACAGATATTATACAAGACTGTCCTTCCCTTCTAGCAAACAGCATGTAATGGGCAGGTCTGCCACACACGAGGCTGTAACAGCTAAAGCAAACAGGTCCCTCTTCCAAACGGCAGGGAAGGCTTGTTCCATCATTTATGGCACCACCTAGTTTTCTTTCCAGTAAAATTGAGACCCTTAGGAGGGAAAATGTTGCTTAAGCAAACGGAAGATGCAAACTGGAAAGACCAACCGCAACCCCAACATGGCACATCCCCCAAGGGTCTTCAAGAAGTGTCAAACCACACTTCTCTTTTGGTAGGAAAAAAATCTTTATTTTGAAGCACGACTCAGATGCATAGCTCCTTCTTCCTGCTACGTCCTTAGCTACCAGAATACATGGTGCCATGTGTGCCAAGGACAAGCTTTCCATAAGAATGCTTGGTGTATTCAGAAACCCTTCCAGAGGACCTGAACAGCAAATTTCAAAGATTAATCTAAAAAGGAAAGCAAACTGAAAGCACGCTTGCAAAAACACTGAAGACTAACCCTCTTGGACTCTTCAAAAGGTCCCCAGGGCAATAAAGAGATCACCCTTACTACAGTAAGGGTGACCCATTCAACATCTGCAAAGAGCAGTCAGTTCACTACCTGTCTTAACACCCTCGCCCAGAACAGCCGACAACCTGGAACTGAAGACAGACTTGTAAGTAAGGTAACAAAAAGAGCCTTCACAGAAGTCCTGAGATTTTCAGCATACACGAGATCTTCCTTTTGAAACACATGCCCTGCATGAGTCAAACCTGGAAACAAGTTAGCCAGGACCATGTTAAATAGAAAGACTGGACGAAGCTTTCTATTTTACCTGCTGTGCTTTCGAGACCTCTTCTCACCGAGAATGAACATAATACCGAGCTGACTGCAGAAAGAACCAAACAGCAAAGGGACTGCTTAATGCAGACCCAGTCTTTTCCAAATGAAATCACACATACCTTTGTGGCAAAACTTGAAATCATGGCCAAACATAGATCCCTTTGCCCTCAAGAAAGCCCACTGGTCCTCCCTGTCCTGACAAAGGAGATTTTTCAGCTCTTTAAAAGATACTTTGCAGGAGAAGGGGGATCATTTTTAAAAGGGAAGGAGGGTTTTTGGGCAGGTTGACTACAGAGACCATTACTTCCACACCAACTATTTGGTGACAGCAACTGGATTTTGGATCTTGCCACTTCCAAAAAAACCTGTAAGGCCTGAAGTTTGGTAGAAGTGGGGAAAAGATGCTGGAAAGGTGGAAGGAAGCAAGTAAGCAAATGAACAAACCAGACTGATATAAAGGGCAGGACTCGTTACAATTTACCAGATATTACAAAATACTGGTTCACAATAATTAATACGTCAAAACCAATTTCTATGAACAAACAATAGCCATGTATAAGGAAACTAGTTGAAAACAATGTGTATTCCAAACCAGCTAAACCACAGAAAAACAAGGTCCAAATGAGACTAATCCCAGCTACCCACAAAGCCTGACAAATACCACTGAAATTATAATCTTGCATTGGCAGGCCCTTCAGCAAAGACCCAGTCAGCGTTTCCATTACACTTCTTACTCTTAGTGCATGAGAAATTTGCAGTCCAGTTTCAAGCTGAACTCAGGACAATGTTCGAGTATCACGTGCATGTTGTTGCCAGCCTTGGCCATTTTCAAGGGGTCTAGGCCACAGGGCAAAAACGTGGCTAAGGTGACAGCTCCAAAGCCTGTTTCTCAGGGACAGGAGCATGAACTTTTGCAGGTGCGACACCCAGCAAGGTAAAGGAAGCCACCAACATGTCTATCTAAACGAGTAATGAGATGCAATTAAACAAAGCGCAAGGCCTGAAAAGAGACCTTAAAGGAAAGATCACACATTATATAATCCAAATATGCCATA